CTTTGTCCATGTGTAAAAGTAATCATTTTTTTAATGAGTTTCAATTTAGAATGTTTTTAATTAGACTGGTATTTTCTGATTTGATCTACTATGATAAGGTCAAATTCATAAAAAACTCGCAAAAATCAACAGACTCGACAAAGATTTGGAATGAACCTTTGTCATGGATTTAGTAGGGACTATTTGTGCCTAAACATATTTAATAGAGATTTTTGGCAGGGATCCGTGTCAAATCCATGACAATATATATTCGTATCCAAACATAATTTTTAGTTGAATAATTATTTTAATTCAAATGTATGCATTAAAAAGTTTGTCCTATTGAAGGTTAAAGAAGGTAATTAAGCATGTTAAACTTTTAAATATCAATTATAAATAAAACACTAACATTTGAAAATTCTCACTCTTTAAAATTTAGTTGAGTCAATTGATGTTATTTAGAAATTCTATAGAGTAAATTGAGTTTCTCTACAAAGATAATTTCTTATTACAAATCGATTTAAAAAAAGTAAACACAACGTGCAAGTTTCACAATATGAAAGTTGACTAAATTAATAAGTTAGATATTCGTATATGATATTTCATAAATTAAGTGGAGTACTTTATTATTTAAATAACTTAAAATTAAAAATCAAGCAACCATAAATCATAAAGCATAAACGGGTGGACAAGTCATAAATCATAAATTTTCATTTAAATCTATAAATAATACATTTCAAAGATACAATTAGGGAAACTATTGCCACATGTCATCTCTAGAGTTACTATAGTTTAAAATTACTTTCTATTTAAAGGAATCTACTTGATCGGTATTCATATAGGAGAGTTCTATTAATTGTAGTCAAATACGATTAGTCGATTTCTACTCATCAACTAAGATACAAATTCTTATTATTTAGGTGGGCCATCCAAATAAAATCCTATTTTGTAAAGTATTATAAGTTTTGTATCTGTGCTCCAATTGTTACAAAAAATATATCAAAATTCATAATTTTTTATTATCTGTCAAATGACATCATTATTGCATATATAAAAATAAAAAATAATTTAACACTTTAAAAGACATTAGTGTTTTTAGAGTGATATATTATTATTTGTAGTCGGATTGTTACAAAAAATATAAAAAAAAAATTATAACTTTTTTAAGAGTAAAAGATCGTAACTTTTTATTATCTTTAAAATGACATCAATCTATAATATAAAATTTGAAGGATAAAATTATGGACAATTTTGCTACGTGTTATGCTCTAAGCAATCCCTTCATCATAATAATCTACATTCTCTTTATAATTTAAAATTATGTTATAAAATTATTTTCTAAAATTTGGAAGTAATTAAAAGCCCCTGAAATCTATATTAGATTATTATTACTTCGTACATAATTACTACAAAAGCTCTTTCGTAAAAATTGCTCCATAGATGACAATTATAATTAGAACTCCTAAAATATTGAAATGCTTAAAAACTCCTCCGTAGATGACAATTACAATTGCTAAAAAAATAGAACTCCATGTTTAATTTGAATTCAACAAATTTAGAATTCCTTAAAAGTCGTGATTAATATAAAGTGTCCTAAATGTCAACTAATATTTATAAACTTTATAAATTTCACTCAAACTTTTTCATAAGAAATTCAGTTTTTTATTTTTATTTTAGTGAAATTCAATTTATATGCAATATAATAGTTTAGAGCCTGTTTGGTAACACTGAATTGGTTGAATCGATTGATTCTGTTGGAATTTACGAAGTTCTGGTTCAAATGGCTGCATTGGCTGATTCTGCGGATTTATGAGGAAAAAAATAAAAAAAAATTGTAAAAATTATTTAAAATACTTTTCGTAAAAATATTTAAAATAATTTTTTAAAAGTAAGCACATTCGAGAAACTACTTTATGTTATGCTTCAGCCATCCTATGTAGGAATGTAGGATATTCTTGGGTTTGGCACGACTTTTTAAAAAATAGAGAATAATTAATGTTTTACCATTTTAACATCAAAACGTAAGAAAAGTTGGATGGATCCAAAAAAGTAAAAGTTGAAATGATAGGTAAAGAGATAAAGTGGGAAAGTAAAACGTTAGTAGCTTAGAGTTCAATTTTGAAAAGTATTGTCACATGTCAATTCTACATATATTTGTTTTAACATTGCTTTCCAAATTAAATGAATAACCGTCCTTTTAATCAGTTAATTGTGTACATACTAGGTATAATTGTAGTCAAATACGTGTAGTACTCAACTAAACACAACTCTCTCTTATTATGGTCCCCCAAGATAAATCTTGAGACCTTTTAAAATGTTATAACCTTTTTATTTGTGCTCAGATTATTACAAAAAATATATCAAACTTCATAATTTTTTTATTATCTTTCAAATGACATCAATATTGAATATACAAAAATTTAGAAAATAATTTAACACTTTAAAAAATCGTTGTTTTTAAAGTGATATACTTTTTTAATTTGTACTCAAATTATTACAAAAGATATATAAAAAATCATACTCCGTAACTATTAAATATCTTTCATATGACATCAATATTGAATATATAAAGATAATTTATATTGTAACATGTTCCTTTAAGTGTGGGTTCTCTTAACTAGAGTTAGCTCAACGGTATTTTGGGAAAACTTTTATATATATAATTACAATGTTTTTAATTAGACTGGTATCAGTCTTATATCAAAACAAAATAGATAAAGCAAGATTAAACCAAACCAGATCAGAATTCAACAGATGCAGAGTACGCATAGAACAGACATGTATTAGATCAATTCAAATCAAACCAAACCAGACCAGACCAAATATACCAAACTCGAAGATTCAATCGAATTGACATATGAAAACATATGTTCTCTTAAACATTGATTAACACAATTCTACTCAAATACAATTTCACTAGACTTCAACTTATAGAATTTTTTACTGAAACACAAATTAAAACAACTTTACTACTCTTATTATACACAATTTTCATCAAATTCAAAGTTACACCTTTCTCATTATTCCATATGAATTCTTCTCCCCGTTTTTCAAATTTATATTCCCATGGCATCTTCATACAATCTCTTTTGTGTATTAACGTCCGTAAACAGAGCTACACAACTATTGTTAAATTCATTACTCTGTGATTTTTCACTGCTAAATTACTTTATAATCATGTTTTCATAAAATAATTAAAATCATATGATTCACTGATACCTTAAATACTCAAAACACTAGCCGTAGAATATAACTACACACTTTTGTTATTTATTTATCTAAAAATGGGTTTAGTCAATTTTTTTTAAGATATTAGTCCTTATTTTTCTAACTGATAATTCAAGTATGTTTTGAGAAAAATAATAGGGCCATTTAAGATGACTATAGTGTTAAAGATGTATTATATTTAATATTTGATGATTAAATTATCATTAAAAAATGTTAATTACTTCTTAAAATAGAAATGAGAATCTTTACTTTACTATGAGAATTAAAAAAGAAAAGGCCTTTAGTAGCTTTCAATGTAATAAACTTAAGTCCTACTAAATGATGTTGGGGATTTGGTAATGGTTGGTATATTATACTATTTTAAGCAAGTATTTTTTTTTTATGTGTTCACGTTTCTAATTAAGAATATTTTCAATTGGAATCAAGTTTTTGATTTGATCTACAAAAGTAAAAGTTTTTTTCTTTAGTGTATATATTAAATATTGATATAAATCTTGATATATTTTTGCCGAGAGCTTCCCATTTCTGGAAGCTTTATTAATAACACATATAGCAATCATATCGTGGTACTAAAAGTGATGTTTAAGAACCAGATAATCAAGTTAGGCTGTGTATAAGGGATAATTAATATTTTTTTACTAATGGATGTAACTTTAATACAGTACTATTTGGTCTTAAAATTGAGATCAATTTTCATATCTAAATATGGGGCATCTTTCTTTTTTTTAATGCATATTTTGTCCTGTTTATGCTTCGATTATTACCTACCACTTGATGTGAGAATCTTTTTATTAATTTCATTCAGCTGACCTTTTGGGTAAAAATGTCAACTAGAAGTCTAAAGCATGCAACATTTTTTCTTTCAATAATGCTTATTTTAAATCAGGCTAATGAAAAGTAAACCGACCTCTACCCATCGTGTTATGAAGTTGACCTGTTGTCGCCCTGATCACATTCATTCAAATCAGAATGTCACAAAATTATATATGAGTGTTCTAAACTCTTTTTTTAAAGAACAAGTTAGGACCAAGTTGCTCAATTATAAATTATAGAAGGGCTAATATCTTTAAAAAAATGACCACTCCCATTATTAAATAAATTAATTACAAAAAATGCATAGTTACTAATTTTGAAAAATAGTAAGTTACATATGAAATCTAATGGATAAAAATAGGCATTGAGCAATTTCTTTTTTTTTTGGATAAAAATGGTTGAAAAGATGAATTTCATTTGGATTCAATTGAGAGTTATAAAAAAATGGCTCTTTTAATTGGAAAATATAGAATAAGAACATGTTTAGATAATTAGTTAAAAATAAGACATACTCAATAAATCAAAATAAGCCATTACCAACCAATCTTATAATCGACTAAATAAGTGACTTTCCGTTAATTATAATAACGCATACATATGTCAATGCGCACGCGCAAATATATAGTAAAACTATAAGAAAATTATTTTATCCCGTGCACGGCACGGGTAACGATACTAGTACTTTACAAATGGGCGGAGAAGTCAAACGGCATTTCTTTTAGCTAACGGTAGTAGAAGAATATTTTTTACCATAAAAAATTATGCACATTAATTTTATAAAACAGTACAAGTATTAATGCATATAAGAGGATGACACAATTTAGGGATACTAACCTCTATTCATAGTTATAATGTTTTTAGATTTGATAATTTCTGATATTAATGTGTAACCACATCTTCCAATTTGATATTTATTCTGATTTAGAAATATCAACTCCCTTTTCTAAAAACATTTAAAGTCATTATAATATCTGGAAACAGAGTCATTATATATTTTGTTTTTATTTAAAAAAAAAAAGAGGAAACGATAAAGTTTGGGGAGTTGGAGTGATAAATATTTTTGTTTCCTAAAATACGATGTAGTCTTTAATTTGATACTCCGTATAATACTTCTCAACTATTAATAAACCTAAGGTGCCATACAAACAGAGCGTGCGTTGCGTTGCGTGGGAGAGGTCGGCGATTACGGCGGAGGAGCTTCGCAAATAGCAGAGGCGCTGATAATAGAGGATTGGGGTAAGTTTTTTCAATTATATATTGAAATTATGGGAAAAGGTGCAAATAGACCCATGTACTAACCAAAAAAGGTCAAATAAGCCCTTATTTAGGAGGTTCTATCCGGCCGTCGTCATTTGGGGTGGTTTCCGGTGGAATTTTTGCATGAACTTTTTTGAGCATCTTATTCATCAAGTCTAGTTTACTCATACCAAATTTCAGCTAAAACTTCAATCGGGAAGGCATTCAAATGAATTGATAACTGCGCTTCTAACTGCGCAGTTATTTTCAAGAATTCATTTGAATGCCTTCCCGATTGAAGTTTTAGCTGAAATTTGGTATGAGTAAACTAGACTTCATGAATAAGATTCTCAAAAATTTTCATCAAAAATTTCCACCGGGAACCACTCCAAATGGCGACGGCCGGACAGAACCTTCTAAATAAGGGCTTATTTGACCTTTTTTGGTTAGCACATGGGTCTATTTGCACCTTTTCCCTTGAAATTATTATTATAAATCGATCACGCAGGTTTTCATACATGACCATAAATCGTTAGTTCAATTTGACAACATGTGGAATTGGTCTTTTTTCTGCAAATAATTCTAATTGATTGAGGATGTCGGACAAGCAATGGGTAGATTGGAAGAGCATATTTATCAGGGCAGAAAAATACAGTTTAAAAGATTTGTTCTGGCACTAAAATAGCATTCGTTCATGTATTCATCTGATCCGGCGTAATACTATTAATGAATTCTAAACTTCAAACTAGAATAAGCACAATAGCCAAGCATCTATAGAGTCTCTACTCTTGCACTTAGAAACTGAATCCATGCCCCTGAATCTTGCACTCCTTTATTCACTTTCAGGTCACAGCAATTGGCTTAAGTGATAGAGTTATGGAGATAACATCAAGTAATTCTGAAGGAAAGTTGTGCCATCACCCTTATTTTCCAGCACCCCAACAGCCTTTGCTCTTTTTCCGTCAAAATGAAAATGGTATGCTTTATAACATCACAGAGCAGTGTTACCACAAAATCGACACATCTTTCATGGATAACAAGTATGTGATCAGCGGCGGCGCCAATAGGGATGGATGGATGGTAGTGCAAGATTGTGACACTCAAGGCGTTGCGCTTGCAAATCTTTACTCACATGAGATGGTCCAGCTCCCGAAATCAGAAATTTGCATGTATCGTCGCCCGGATCCAGATGATTGTTTATTAAGGCGCAATTTTGCTTATATTTCATCCAATCCTCGCGATCCTAATTGCTATGTTGTCTTGGCTGATTTCAACAAAACTATGTTCTGCAAAATTGGAGACACCGAATTTAAGATGAAGACATTAGAAGAGGAGTTAGAGTCAATGACGAACTTCAATGGGGAGATGTATGGGTTGATGAACACCACTACTTTGGTACGTGTCCAATTCATTGGAGGAGATGTTAGATTTCATGAGATGATAAATGATGATAAGTTTACTTATAACCCGTCATCAAGACCAAAATATTTCTTGCAGATGAGGGGTTATATTACTGAAAGTTGTGGTGAAATCCTACTAGTTGCCAAAATTTATCTTGGGCTAACTACATTTAATCACCCGAATCATTACTCAAGTTATTACCCCGTCGAAAAGATCAGAGTTTTCAAAGCAGATTTATGTGCGCGAAAATGGGTGGAGATGAAGAGTATAGGAGAACGTACCATTTTTCTCGGATGTCATGGAGGCATATTTTGCATCAACACTAATGACAAGAACTCAGGTGTGAGAGCCAATTGCATATATTTCTTGGAGGATGATGATAGAAACATGTATGTTTTTGATTTGGAAGATAATAGTGTCTCTCTCAACCTTCCTTGCTCTCATGTCCGTAAGCGGGAATTGACTTCCCTATGGATGTTGTGATATTTTTATTAAGTTCATTCATGTAGTACACAGTTCAAACATTGATTCTTGTTTTTGGTCGATTTAATTGCAATTCAATAATTATATATAGGGGGATTTGACTTTGCACCCCATTTTTTGAATAATATTGGACTGTGCACCCCATTTTGAAAAAACTTTGACTTTGCACCCCATTCCACTTAAAAATCCTTTGACTTTGCACTCCATTTAGAAAATTTTCTTCACAAAGTGATATGTGTTGGGCTGCAAAATCAAAGTTTTTTCAAATTGGGGTGCAAAGTCCAATATCACCCAAAAAGTGGGGTGCAAACTCAAATTCTCTTATATATATTAATTGTATTCATGTCAGCTTTATGATATATTTTAGAACTAGACATGCACTACACGAATGGAGGGAGTTTCATAAACTTTATCAAAATAATCCAAAGCAACCTTCTCGTTTCGTGCTTTCATCTAACTTCTACATTAGCTAAATATCCAGAACGTGCATTCCAGAAAGTGCATTCACGCATCAGGACACATGCTTCATATTAATGTAGTACACTAGTACCCTAGGACGTTAGGACGTAGTAATGTTTAACACTTCTAATGTCACGTTTAAGCTCCTAGACCATATTACAAGTAAAATTAAATGTCAATTCGATACGATCATATATTTTCATTAAAACTAGGTTTCAAGACGGGCAATACATAATTTAGTTAATTTTAAATTTGATATTTTTGGAATCATGTATAGTGTGATACAAAAGTAAAATAAATTCAGTCTAAATATAGAGTTCGTTTGATAGTACTAAAATTAGTGGAATCAGCTTTTTTTTATTGAAATTGATTAAATTCTATTTGAATGGGCTGAATGGGCGGAATCTCCTAAATCATGAAAAAAAAATCATTTGTAAAATAAAGAAACAATTATACGAAAAATATTTAAAATGTTGTTCAACTTAAGCATCTCAACTAAACATAATGTTGTGAATACAATTTTAAATAATTCACAAAGAAGCTTCTTGATTAATCTCACGTCCTCTATATTACTTTATTATGCACCTCATTTTTTTTTCATATTCCTCATTCAGCTTGGTATGAAATATGGAATAATATACATACTTTTAACTTTTAATAGTAAGATCTTACATTTTACTCATTATTTCGTCACATTGAAAATGTAAAAAAATGGATTTTGTTTTTAATTTTACTCTTAATTTCATCACATTGAAAACTATAATTAATTGTTATGAATGTCTAGATTACTTTATTGAGCATTCAAAATACTCCGTAATATTTTTCTAATATTTCTCATTCAACTTGGTATGAAATACATATTTTAAATTTTAATAGTGAAAATTTACATTTTACTCACTACTTCATCTCATTGAGAAAATGTAAAAAATGGTGTCTTTACATTTTACTCATTATTTTGTCACATTGAAAACATCATTAATAAGGACGTTTTTAATTGAATTAAAAAAATTAGGTTTGATTTGGTCTGAAGTAATATGATCTGGTAGATGTCTGTTTTACATTTTATGTATCCTACACATCTACTATTATTATTAAAATTTGATCTGATCTGATCTAGTTTGAGAATGAAATCAATCTAATAAAAAATATCCTAAGGATATAAATAAAATTAGGAATTTGTAAACATACAAAGGTTTCCTAATTTGGATCAGGAATCTATTTCAAAAGTGATAGCAAATATAAATTGTAGTTGAAAAAAGAAAAAGAAAAAAGTAACCAAATATACGAAGTATTAACACAATTGCAAATCCGGGGCTTAGAATTTTAATCATGATCTCAACATTGAGTTTAGAAGAATAAAATATTAACGAATAAGTTTGAAGAGAGAATCTTAATAAAATATGAACGGATATGTATCACATTTTAATCATGATCTCACTTCCATATTCTCTCTTCACTTACCAAATAAGGTGGATTTTTATCATACGGTCTTTTGTTTCCATCTCAATATGCAATCAAAAATAGAATCTAATAATAACAAAAATAGATATTATTTAGTTTAGGAGTATATCAGCCATCAAGAGAGAGACTCTCCTCCGTCTCTCTAAAATTACACCGACTAATTAAAATAACGTATGGAATCCCGGCACTACTACTCCCACCGCCGGAATGACCACCTAGTACTCAGGGACATCTGTTGTTGCTTAAATGGGATCTGCCTCCGCTACAACAATCGGAGCAGCGACAATACATACCAGCACCAACGGTATTCTCATCCTCAGTCGGAGGCTTCTACCAACGAACTTCCTCGCGTTACTACCCAACACGCAAGAATGGCGAACCAACATCACAAATCAGGTACGTCACATGAGCGGACCTTTTTAGGACGGATAGAGACAAAGAAAATGTCGTGGCTCTTCATCCTCCCTTGATTATACATCCAAACTCTTTGTTCAAAGATATCAGTACGTATAGGGACTCCGTTGAATTAATTCACGCACCGAAGGAAAAGTCAACCAAGGAAATCGAAAATTTTCACTTCTTTGGAGACGAGGGCTTTTAGATTTGCTGATAGACACAATGAAATTGTCATATTTGAAATTAAAAAATCCTCTCTGCATAGGATTAATTTCAAAAAAGAACAAGCGGTCGACATCTACCCATTATAAACCATCTCACCGGATCAGACAATTTTAGGGAAAACAGAAGATTTGGTTCTATCATGATCTCCTCAAAATTCAACAACTCTCGGGCCAATATTTGAAGATTGCTAAGGAAAAGGGAAGCTTCATACTAATCCCCATGGGCCCAAAAAAATTCAATTTAAAAAAAAATTATGGCAATATTCTCAAAATTTGTTGGATTGACTGATTTTGTGAAGGAGATAACAATGGATTGGCTACAAGAAACCATGTTAGTTACAGAGGAGCCAAAATCAATATCTAGACTTATTTTTTATTCCCAAATTCGGGGAGCCTACTTAGAGAAACAAAGATCTTCAACTCCAGTAGAACGGCATAGGCTTAATCAGGCTTACTCAGACGCATTGGACAACTTTTATCAATCAGATGATTCTTCCTTCAGGGAAGACTTTCTGGTACATGCCACTGAAAGTGATCATCGTCCCCCTATCTCAACTCCAGGATAAATTACGAAATCAAAATTCAATAGAGCAGCGATTCGCAGGAAGTCAAAGTTTGTTACCTCAGAAAATTGCCTTCCAACGAAAAACTTAAACACACAACTCAAAATCTACAGGAAATCTCAAAAGAATAAAAGACGACACAACATGACTACTAGGTCTAAATCAAGAGAATTTCCTTGGGTGTAGTTTTAGTCCTTTCTTTCTTCGTATTGTTTTATTTTGAGATATTACCCAAAATGGGACTAAAAAGTTTGAAAATTCCAAAATAGTACTTCCATGTTTTTATTCCCAAAATAGGACTAATTATTGTCATGTTTTGGCAGTACCAGACTTCAAACATGGCAGTATTTTCCAAATTTGGCAATAATTAGTCCTATTTTGGGAATAAAAACATGACAGTCCTATTTTGGAATTTTCAAACTTTTTTAGTCCCATTTCGGGAACTTTCCCTTTTATTTTCTTTCTTTTATTTTCTTTTAACTTTTTATGTATTTTATTTCTCTGTAATGTTTACCTCTTTTGAATAAAATTCGCTTTTCACGAGAAAAAAAGAATCTACTAGTAATAAAATAAATGGAGTATTAAAAAACTAAATATGTAATACTATGTAATTGTTATATATGATAGATGACATGACAAGATTATGTGGCGCTTCGTATGCTCATAAAAAATTCCTCTTTTATATATATACTAGTATTGTACCCGTGCGATTCACTGGACATAAATATTTTTATATTGTAATCATGACTTGTACTTATACATTAGAAATATCAAAGTAAGATATGTTTAATCTAATGAAATTGTAAAAAATGTATGTTATAATAACAAAAACATTAATACGTTGTTATATTAAAAAAAAATTAAAAACATATAGCACAAAGAAATGACACGTCTTGAAAATTTTCTAACATTTATTATGGAGATAGTGGAGGGATCATGCATGGAGGTGGGTTTATCAATATCACTACAAATATACTTGATATAGGTATTAAAGTATCATTTTGTAATTATTTCCTAAAAATCCATATATGATTAAATTAGTATTCGATGATGCTCGTATAAATTTCACCACGACATAAGTTCCTATAAATTAACTTAAGAAATCTACAACCCTTGAGAGACACAAAGCACTTTTTAATCAGTGTCATAGTTATATACGGAGTATATGCGCGCGCACACACATATATATATATACATATTGGGGGTGCTAACACAGAGGTTTTATTTGTATAAAAATTTTAAGAAAATTTTGTTAACAAGGGTGAAATATAACACAATTCCTCAACTATAATGCTATTGTTTTCTTCTATAAATATGATACACTAATTCCTATTTCGAGAAGTTTTTATTATTTTATTATTTTAATAGGAGTAAATAAGCCATATTTTGAGAAGAAAATATATTTAATTTTATTTGTAAATTTTGTCTAGGTGTTAATACTCTCCTTTGTATCAGTCGCTACTTCATCTCTCCAACACCTTCAGAGTTTACTCCTGCATCCTTGACGGAAACGTCCCCCTCATATCTACCTTATCCCGACCAACAAAGTTCAATTGTTGGTGTTCTCTATGGACCGATAGGTACACCGTACACAAATGGTGATACCGAACATCACCGCCTTCGCCACTCATCCCACACAGCTGATAAGTACTCCATTTTTTTCCTATCCGTTTAATTATATATATCTCCTTAAAGAGTAACTTTGTCTTTTACTTAATTATTGTTGAAGATCGATTCGTCTTTCCGGCTCAGGTCTCCAACCCTTTTGCTATACTCACACACACCACTCTAGGCTAGACCATAACACCTCACCAAGCTTCTTCTCAACCACTAAGGTATTCTCTCTCACACTCTCACACAAAGGAAATGGAGAAGAAGAAGGGCACTGCTCTCTCTCTGGAATATCTTACGCAGGCTACTCTCACAAGGAAGAAAGGAGCTAGATAAATAATAGGTTGACCAACACAAAGGACACTCACGGGTGATGCAAAGACAAGGAGGAATGCAGCGGACAGCTCAAAGGGGTCACTCCACATAAGTCAAAATGGCCATATTATTGGTTAGGAGAGATTCAAAACAAGAGGTGCCAAAGTGGGGAGTAAACATGGGGTGCAAACCAATAATAAAGTGGAAGGGAGACCTTGGTAGGACCAATACCTCCAACATTCTCCACCTTATTGGTCCTAGGTGGTGTAGAGTAACAATACAAAGTTGTGAGGAGACTCATCATCGCCGGACCATTACAAGTACATCATTCCGATCATACAAGTAATAGATGAGAACCAAAGTTCTCTTTCGGACCAAGCTTACCATGCAAACCCAATTCACGATGGACTGAACTCTACCAATCGGTCTTTGAGTTCAGAACCAAAACCATCACAAAACTATTAACAAGCACAACACATGTTAATAGACCACGCAAGCAAGCATCCAGGAGAAGTTGGGGATTCCAACTAATCCAACAACCACACAAAGCAAGTACACAAAAAATAAAAGAAACAATATTATTTCTATAAATAGCACAGGCGGAGCTCACATAATCACTTGGTATCACATTTTCAAAACACAAAGAAAATAGCATACCAAACATCACAAAGAATTTAATTAAAAGAGAATTAAGCACATTTAAAGCAAACTCAGAGGAAATATAGTCAAACACTTTGCACATATCATTTCTCTCATGCTCCCTAATGTCTCTATCTCTAATAACATGGCAATCACGCAACTCAAGCATATTGCACACAACATTCATATCATGCTCCACCTTAATAGAAATACTATTTTCTTTATTTTCACCATGAAAAACATTTTCATTCACAAAGTTGGGTTTGGTTTCAACAAGCAAATCAGAATGAACTTCAACAGGCAAATGCTCCACCTCATTTGGAGCAACATCAGGAGAAACAAGCAGGCAAGAAAATTCATTTTCAACAAAAATGACATTTCTACTCATCAACACATTGAAGCAAGTTTCACTCCTACACCAAACCCTATAACCTTTCATGCATTCATGATATCCTAAGAAAACATATTCCTTAGTCCTAGGTTCAGATTTATCATTCTCACGATTCACATAAGCAGCACAACCAAACACTCCCAAATTTGGCAAGTCAAGTGGTTTGCCCATGAACACAGATTCAGGGCATTTCCCTCCTAAGGGAACAGACGGGGACAGATTAACCAAATCAACAGCATAACAAATAGCTTCCCCGCAGAACTTATTAAAGAGCCCAGATGAAGCTAACATAGCCCTCACCCTCTCTAATAAAGTTCTAACCATCCTCTCAGCAACCCCATCCGGTTTGGGTGTGGAGGGAACATATTTTTGCATAGAAATACTCCAAGTATCACATAAATCACCAAGCTGATCATCACAGAAATCAAAACTGACAGTGGTCCTTAAAAAATTTATTTTCTTACCAGTTTGTTTTTCAACAAGGGTTTTCCAGTTTTTAAACTTATCAAAAACTTCAGATTTATTTTCAACCAACAAAACCCACACTTTCTTTGAAAAATCATCAATCAACGTCAGAAAATAATTTTTCCCACCATGAGTGGAAACACTATAAGGACCACACAAATCAGCATGAATACAATTCAGCACATCATTACACTTAGGCAGATCAGGAAAACCAACTCTAGACTGTTTTCCTAGCACACATGGTTGCACACAATTCACAGAATCAAGTACGGGTTCAACATGACAAACATACAAGTTGTTTTTCATCTCAGCTTTAAAAATAACTAAACAACCCTTAACAACTTTCATGATTCCCTTTCCCCATTTTCCCTTCAAACCCTCATTTTCAAGAGAAGCACAAGATAGCAAATTACAACACAGCTCAGGAACATGCCTAACATTCTTCAAAGTAAGCACATAACCAGAAGAGAACCTAAGGCATACATCTCCTATTCCTAGCACATTGCATTTCTTCTCATTTGCTAAAGACACAAAGCCATGTTCAATCTCTCTATAGTTTAAAAAAACATTTTTCAAAGGGGACATGTGAAAACTACAACCATAATCTACCACTCAATCTGATTTACCCAAAGAATCAGATATCACAAAACTCAAATAGTCAAAATCACATAGATTACTCATCATAAAAACATCACCTAAATCATCTTCACACATAGTCAAATTAGCATGCTCACTATGCTCATTTTTCCTAGATATAGGACAATCTTTTATGAAATGACCAGGTTCATGACAATAATAGCAACGCCTCGAATTAGACCTAGACTTAGATCTATGTCGTCTACTATTATTTCTACCCCTCACATGCAAAACTTCCTCGGATTTTCTACCCTCACCCGTCTGTTTTAAATCTAATTCCTTACTCTTAAGACCATTTACCACAATGTCAAGAGTCACATTATCTCTACTATACTTAATAGCAGATTTCACATCACCAAAGGAATCAGAAATAGCATTTAAAAGAGCAATATGGGAATAATCATCTATATGCTTATCACCACACAACTTAATATCAAAAATAAGTTTGGTAAAGACATCTAGATTTTCCTCAATATCTCTAGACATATCTAGTCTAAATTTGAAGAACTTCTCAAGTAAAAACATCTGGTTAGGCAAAGAGGTTACGTTATAAAGCTCTTCAAGTTTATCCCACAAAGATTTGGCTGATTCTAAAATTCCTACTTTTCTGAGCACACAATCAGATAAGTTCAAGTAAATTGTAGAACAAGCATTTTCATTCATTTCTGCTTTTTTCTCTTCCGTATCGGAAGCCAAATAGGTCTCACTAATGGCCCTATATGATTTTTGTTGAATTAATATGCACTTTATTTTCTGTTTCAATATGCTAAAATCAGTTTTTCCATTAAATGGGGTCATTCCATACTGATTAAAAGCAGACATTTTCACACACAAAAACTAAACAAGAAAATATAAATGCAACTTTAGCTAGAAAAGCAACTTAATATTTATAGGGCTAAACAGTAGCACAAATAAATACAATCTAGCAAATATTAAATCAACAACAAATTCTAACAATTTGAATTACAGAAACTGAAATTTGGGATAAAGAAGACTTACCATAGGAATGTATGCGCTCGACTTTATCAAAGTCACACTTTTCTTTTTTGGATGTTTCAAAAACAAAGTCATACTTCCTTTATTTCCTTATTTTTGACAAAAATTCTACATCAAAACGGTGTCAAACAGTATCTAA